CCTACTTCCATCATGGAGGTGGGGGACGAGACCTGGACACGGCGGGCAGGCCAGTCTGGCGACGTGCTGCTCCTGTCCGGTCTACCCCAGGTGCCCCTGGCCCTGAGGCGACTGGTATGGACCCAGAAGCGGAGAGGCACTTCAAGCTGTCACACTCCATTGATGGGAGCCAGTTTGCCCAGGCTCCGGCGGCAACTTGCACTGAGGAAGAACGGACCTTTGCGGAGGAGGTCCCATCCGTCTGCAGGGTCCACATTCGGCAGGAGATCCTGTCGGCTGACTACGAGGATGATGCTGCGCAGAAGGTTGGACGAGCAACAACCTTCACAGTCCTTCCAGATCTTCCACGCGGAGGCGGCCAAGGCCCTTCGAATTCAATCGGAGGCCCTTCAGGGTCTCTCAGCCGCTGAGCTCAAGGCGGAGCGCGCCAAATCCGAGGAGGCCGAACGGGAGGAGAAGGCGGACCACGTGACCCAGTTGCAGGCCACTGTCTTGGCCCCCATTCAGGAGGGCATGCAGTCGGTCCCGGACAGCCAGGTAGCGAGACCCTGCCTCCTCCGGCGGCCCCGGCCAATGTGACTCCTCGCTACCCGCGCCTCACTGCTAGCAACGTCACCTCAATTGTTGGCAAAGACTGGCGCAAGAAGCACTACCCAGGCGCCAGCAAGGATCGCCACTTCTTTTGGGGCGAGGCCGAGTGCGGCCTGATCCTTCCCAGCATCTCGGCCTGGGAGGTCGTCACCAAGGAGAAGGGAGCCACAAAAGGGGGCTACATGTGCAGATATTGCCAGGGCTTTTGGAAGGCCTCCAGGGGAGGCAGCCGCTTCTTGCAGATTACCGGTGAACAGCGGGGATCCCTGGCCTCCAGCTGGTGCTGGATGAGCCACCCGAGGCCCTCTACAACAAGTGGATCAAGGAACGCATGGAGTTCTACAAGCGGGTGGAGCCCTGCGCGGCCCCCAGAGATGAGCGCCTTGAGCTGGTGGGCAAGATGAACCATCGCTTGCGGTTCAGCACCAGCAACAACGTTGGGGCAGTGTCCGATGCCATCTGGCAGGTCATCCTGAGCAACGAAGAGATGAAGGGCATCCGGGCGATCCAGCAAGTGGCCCAGCAGGTCACAGCAGCGGCCTGAAGGGGCTGCCTAGTGAGTGAGGGTGCCGCGGGTGACTCGGCTTAGACCGTTTTTCTGTCTCACCCCATTTTGCATCCATTTTGAGCTCTCTGCACATCCGTGCTTGGACGCCGTAAGTGTCCTCCCCCAAGTCCAGGTGCCCATTGGCCCTGAACCGGGGGGGACCCGGTGGTGGCCATGGTGCGGCGCCTAGACGACCGACCTGTTGCGCACAAAGAGGACCGCTCTGGAACTTTGTTTCATCATGCATGCAGAGCAGCTGTGTGAGTCTGTGTGAGGACTTTGAGGTACTAGGAACTTGAGGCTGCTAGGCGTACTTCTCACCTCTCCTTTTCTTTCCCCTCGGTGAATTTAGGCTTCTTTGGGGAAGCCGGCTTGGTTTGGCGGTCTCGTGACGCCATGAATTTTACTAGTGAGGCTTTCCTGAATCGCACACCCTATTGTCGTGCTTGGGACTCGCTGCCCCGCCATATTTTTGATACCTTGGTGGATGAGGGATTTCCCCCCCCGCCAAACTGATGGCGAACTACTGGCGGTGGCTTGCTTGCGGGTGGGTAACCCGGACGAGTCCCTGGAGCTTGGGGGCCACCCTGCGGCGGCCTTCAGGCCTCTGGTTTGGGGTTACGACCCTGATGATCCGGACATTCACATGGTCCCGGAGGACTACCTGATGGCGCTGGTTGCGGCGGCCGCAGCTCGCCTCCCCCAACCACTACACCAGCATGACTTGGAGAAGATCAGATCCACCTTGTGGGACCCTGCTTATCAAGGTCACTCAGGGGCCCATGTCCTCGACTTACGGCCCGCTCGAGTACACTTACGATCGGCGAGACATGCAGACATGGCACAACCGCAAGAGCCCTCCTCCTTTGCTCCAACTGGAGCTCCTTAAGTGGAGGCACTGGCGCCCAGGACAAGTGGCCACGCTGGAACCCACTACTCAGCGGGCTCTGGAGCTCCATCTACGCAGCCGATGGGCAGAACGCCTCACTGCCCACTTTGCACCCTATGCAGAACATCTCCCGAACCTGGAGGCTGTCATGCGGGACTCTGACTTCTGCATGGAGTTGAAGCACCTCCTGGGCGATGCCAGGTTCCGCTCCATCAGGCAACACTGCTTGGTATACGAGAACCTCCGCAAACGGGGCTTTGTGGCGATTCCATGGAGGGAGTCGGACGTGCGGGCCCTGCTGAACAGGTTGCAGGCAGATGAGATCTCACCCGTATACAAACTCCAACAGATATGGCAGACACTGAACTGGTTGTCCAAGATCTTTGGCCTACTCAAGGTGGACGAACATCAGCGCCTTGTCACCAAGAAGAAGGCCCTGGAGGAGGAGCTCGCTCCCACGGTGGTTCGTCCCCAGAAGAAAGCTGCAGTCCCTTCGCGGGAAGTGATTTGGGCACTGGAGGAAGGAGCGGCGCTTGGGGGACCCCCCTGGTGCCCCTGGCCCAGCGACCCCGGCGCCTGCTGCCCCTGGCCGGGAGCGCCATGAGCAGCTGGACGCGTTCATCCTGGGCTTTGCCAGATTCCAGGTTGGCTGCAGTGCCCGCTTCGATGACCTACAGCATGTCCGCCCGGAGGAACTCCGGACCACCTCCAACACCATTGAGCTTCAGGCCTGGCAGACTAAGGTGGCCCATGCAGCCCGTATCCGAACGAAACCGGTTCCGCTGATATGCCCGAAGTACAGCTTCTCTGGAGCACCTTGGTACCTCCAGTTTGTTTCCACGGTGAGGAAACTCTCAATGCTCAAGGCCTTTGAGGGTATGGACTTTCTCCTCCCCACGATCAGCAAAGACTTTGCAGGACTGATCCCGCGCCCCTCGGGAGGTGACCGGGCCCTGCGTTGGCTCAAAGATGCCCTTCGACGCCGGGGGGTGGCCCAGGAACACGTTACGCCCCTCACCTGGCATTCCTTCCGGATCTTCATTCCGGACTGTGCATTCCAGCTCGGGGTTCCCCGTTCTGAACGGCAATACCTGGGGAACTGGATGACTGAGTCGACAGCCGACGTCTATACCCGGCAGAAGAGACCCGGCAGAAGAGAAATGTCGTCACGGCCATTTGGACCAAGGTGGCAGACAAGGTGAACTCCCTCAAGATGACACTGGGCCGGGAGCGCAGGGAGGACCTTAACCATGGGGACTGGGATGACCCAGTGACGGAGGTGGTGGACGCAGACGAGCGGCGCAGTCCACACGACGCTCTATGGCTGACACCCCGCCTTTGGACGAGGGCTCCCCACAGCCGGACCAGATCACCCCTGGCACCACTGGTTCGTGGGATGTTGTGGAAGGTGAAGACAATGGTTTGGGTCACTTCCTTGCCCAGGCCAGCGACCTGCCCCCAGAGGGCGACCAAGATGACCAGGATGACTCCTACCAGGTGATCAGCTCGAACACGGTACGGGGCCCGGACAAGCAATTTCGGGTCCACCTCCTCACTGTGGAGGGGTTCTGCTTGGGATGTGGTTGGCGCCCCAGAAGCACCCAGATGACTGTGCTGACACCAGGGGAGTATTGGGCCAACCCCACGGGCTATGGCAAGTGCAGACGATGCTTTGCCAAGGGTGACCTCCCCAAATCGTGGTTCGTGAGCCGACATGGCACAGTGGAAGGGAAGGACATCCCTGACCTCGAGGTAGACACGGGGAGCTCAGCCACATCGGGCTTGGAGACAGACGACTCCGTAGACACCCAGTCGGAAGCTGATGCCGTGCCACTGCCAAAGGTGCTCCCGGTTGAATCCATTTGAGGCATTCCGCTCTCGGCTGCCTCTCCGTCCTGACCCACGGCCAGGCGCCCCTTGGCCCTGGAATGGTGTCGGGGCGGAGCAAGACCCCAGGACACACACCTCGGCCTGCCTGCATCCTTCGGAAATGGCGGGTGTCCCAAACCCCCCATGGGCCCGTCCTGCCTCCACATTGGCCCGCGTAGGAGCCAAGATCCTGGCACTGACAACTCCATTCACCGACCAAGTCATGTGGTCGATTACGTGCGGGTCCAAACAACACCCATATCCGGCCCCACTGCTGGAGGACATCAGGCAGGTCCTCCACCCCGGCCACCAACATACTACACCAGACGGGCAACCCTTCTACCTGGAGCTGATCTCGCAGCTCGCAAACACAGCCGGGGACCCAGACTGGCAGTACCCTCAGATCCTCGCTACAGGCGTTCCTCTGGGGGGTCTCGGTTCCCACCCTCCCTTCACCGGGAGTGTGGCCTCTCAAGAGTGAACTTGCGGGAGAAGACCCAGTGGAAGCGCCACTGGATGACCCCAAGGGACATCACAATTACCCATCGGCAGCAGACTTTTCCAGAGAGATTCGGGCCACCTTCGCAGAGGAAGTCCCAATGGGCATGACGGTGGGCCCGCTGTCTCAACAACAAGCGGCCGAACTCTGTGGATGTGACCCGGCAGAGCTCTCTGCCCAGGCCCCCTGGCGGGAATTGATGAGGGGGATAAGGTCCGAACCATCTATGATGGATCGATCGGCGGGTGTGCCAGGCAGACCTCCGGACTGGGCGAATCCTACTGCCTGACACACCCTTGTCCCCCTGGCGAAGTCCAGGGCATTTTGAAACTGACCAAGTGATACAGGGTCTGGGGGAGGACACCAGCATCAACCAAAGCGCATTGGAAAAAGACTGCATGCAGCTTTTTGCGCTCTTGGGATCTTTTTTGACTTCTGGGTACATTATATGATATATACTATATGATATACTGTATATATATATATATACTATAAAGCTTAATTATCTAACTGTCCAGCCTCTCTCTCGGATGGTGGTCCTTTTCGTGCCCCTTTTCGTGCCAGTTCTCCCTAAGCTGCGGCCCGGCCCTTCCGTGGCGCCCGAGGCCAGCCCCGCCGTGGCGTTGCGCCTGCGGGCGCTGTCTCCACCCGAGGTGTCCTTCGACGGGGCTGGCGGCGGCCCCGAGTTGCTTTTGCAGGGCCTCAGCCTGGTGCCTCACGTGGAGGCGGACCGTGTGGTCCCACAACCGGTTGATGTCTCTTCGGTTCTGGTGGACGAATCACCCACAGGGGGGTGGAAAGCTGACGTTGGGAGGGGTAGAAGTGCTGTAAGGTTGTAGGCACTGTAGACATGTCAACTAGTCAGTGAGGCATTTACTATCAAATCGTTTACTTATGTTTTATGCTTGCTTGCCTTGCTTTGCCTTGCTTTGCTTGCTTACTTGCTTCAAGGCATGGGAATCCCTCTTTGGTCAGTCAGGTCTCCATCCTCATCACTTCTGTGCGTTTGGGCCGTGGTGGTGGGCCCAGCCGCTACTCTTTGCAAACCTTTCGGACACCCTACGAGGGGGCGCCTGGGCGGCAGTTGCAGCCGGTCCGAAGGTTTTGGTAGAGGAAATGACAAAGATACACCATAGATTCTATTTGTCGAGGGAGGAGGTTGTGTTCAATGAGGTTGTGTTTGTAGAGGAACGAGGTCTTGCGAAGGTTCATGGTTCGCTATTGTCATGATGCAATGTATTCTGTGCCTCGGATATCCTCCAGTCGAACTGACAGAGTGGTCCCTTATGATTTGGGATTTGTAGGTCAGGCACATCCTCCATTGGCCCACTGAAACGTGCCCCCAGGCGTCTTGGAGCGCCATGTGCGATGTTGGCATCTTCCATCATCATATTGTTCGGGCCTTCTCTGTCACAGCCTCCGCGCACGGAACGCGCGCAGCTAGCGCCCTCCTTACCACGATGGTGCGCGCGCTCGTCGGTCGACGTCTCAGGTAGTGGATGAGCGCTTGGACTTCTTTGGCTTCTACCAAGCGGGGCGTGCTGAGGTCTCTGGCACTCTACAGGGCTCCCACATGCTGGAGCCGACCGGGTGGCTGCGCACGTTGCCACCCCGGGCTGCGGAGAAGGGCACCTGGGAATGGATGGAGTTGGTCGGCGGCTCCTAGTTGGGTTCTGGGTGATGGCTTGTGCGGCGTTGGTTTGGTTGTTGACGGCCTGCTTTTGGTGGCTCTGGTGGATTTCGTTGAATTTTGATGACTAGGTTTTGATTGCTTCTTCTGTTGGCTTTTATTGTTTTGTTCGCATATGTTCGCATGTTGATGCATTTTGTATACCATCGCTTTGGATCTTTTTGGTGGCTTGACACTTGATTTGCTCTTGGGGGAGGTGCTCCGCCCTCCCCCCAACCCCCTCCAGCTTTTTCAAGCCAAGCCAAGTCAACCAAACCTCCAAAAAAAAACCTAAACCACAGCCGAAGTAAACTGCGATCCCAAGCTGCTTAGGGTAGGGGAAGACCCCTGAAAAACAGCACCCTCCCCAGAGGCACCAGGACTACGCTGCTGGGGACTTTCCTAAAGCCCCTAGCAGCCGAAGCAAAACCAAAAACATACATAAGTACAGACATGATTCCAAAACAGATTCCAAAACAAAGAAACAAAAACACAACCAACAACCAAAACAAATTCCAAAGCTATCATCGCAACCACTTTTTCCAGCATGATGGGCTTGTGGTGTCCTAAACTCCCTTTCTAGAACGCCTCACGAGGATTCATCACTTTGAACCTCGTCTTCTCGATGGACCTGTTTGCTGGTGATGTTTTGATTGTCACCTGCCAGGGCTTGGGACCCTCAGCTGCAATCTGCCGAAGTTGGGCAAAGGACCTTGAATATCAATGAACATCATCGAATCATCATCGCTAGTGAGCCGCTAGTGTTTGTCGACGATTTGGACAAAGCTATGTTGGGCTTGTTCCTTGTTCCGTCGTTGGATGGCGTTCGGTGATGTGGAGATGGGCGATGTCGGAACATCAACCTCAACCTCAACTCAGACTTCTCAACTCTGGAGACTTGGACTTCAACTCAGACTCCAGAGATTGCTCCAAGCAGCTAGGTCCACCTGATGGGTGACGCGAAACAGCTACCTGACGATGTGAACCATGTGGCCATGTGCACGTAAGTAAGTGCGCCTTTCAACCTCAACATCCACCTGATCGCGGGTCGCTGTAATTGGGACGCTGCAGCTCTACAGTTCATTTGCGGCAAGATGTTGCACAGTATCCCAGAGGCCCCATGAATAAGTATGACTTTGCATTAGCTTCGGACTTTTGGCTGGTTTTACTGCAAAATGTTGATATTGACCTTGGAGGCTCAAAACACGGCCACCGGAACCGCTCCTTGTTTTTTCAGGGCCTGACCTTCGGCCACCGCCGTTGCTCGAGCCGGTCCACTTGGTGAGGTGCCTATGTGCTCTTCAGCGACTCGCTGGTGATGGAGCGCCTGACCTTCGTCCTGACAGGGGAGGCGATGCCCGTGCTCGCCAGCAACCAGGGCGAGCACGAGTTGCACATCGCGCTGGACACCGGCCACCGGGCGAATTGTTCACACTAAACCCATGGGTGGGGGGGGGGGGGCAATATTTTGAGACACCCATATCATGTCCCCAAACGCGGGGTTTCTCTTATCCTATGGTTCCTTCAACCTTGGTTCCATTGGTGCCTGATATGAATCTCCAGGTTTGAAGTGGCCCCGTGGCCATAGAGATATCTGTTCTGGCCTATTCGTACGAAAATGGCTGGACAAATTGGCCAAATGAGGCCCAAATGGTCATTTTGCAGCTCAGGAAGGTTCATCAGGTGACCACCAGCTTGGAATGACCAAGGCGGCAATGCTTCCAATGGCTCGGCGTTGGTTGCTGCCCAGTTTGCTAGGCTGCACTTTCAGGCTGGGTTGAAGCAAGTGGTGTCATGCTGCCATAGCAGGGCCTTGTGTTCTACACCACGTCTACAGTACGTACGAGGAACCAAAAGCCTTTCCTTCCATCCTGCGTGGAGGACCTTGGAAGCAGGTATCTGACAGAGGAATCCAGAAGAGGAGTCATAAGGGACTTTCCCCACTGTGGCATTTGGTTTGGGCTTGAGAAGGCTTGTGCTGGGACAGCCCCAGCTTGGATGGTCCGAACACCATGCAAAAGTGGGGCTGTTGAGTTGAGATTGAGCTTCTTGCCCATGAAGAGCTCTTCACCATGACGAGCCAAAATGAGGTGGCCGATGAGTGGATTGGTGAATTACCTTGAATCTGGCTGGGCAGGTGGTCGTGCGAGTGTCCCGAATCCCCCAAAGCCATCAACAGCCAAGGTCTTGTGATAGCCTCATGGCCCCAAGCACATAGCTTGGTGAACCTGTTCCGCGCAAAGCGCCAGGAAACTTTCAAGGGAACTTGCAGCTCCACATGGCTCCACGCTTTTCGGACCTGTTTGGGGATGGAGAGATCCAAACCTGAAAACAGCCACACCTGAGGAGTTGGAATCTTCGTGGATGCCATGTTCAGGGGTCGTCTTGGTTTTTCAACCTTCCTCAGGCCATCCCCACGGCTGAAGCCAACACCTGGAAGGTCGATAGCCACATGGCAGCATTGCTTTGCTAGTCTTTTGCGTGATGTGGATGGAGGTCTGTGTTGGCATTGGACATCACTAGTGGCATCTCTGGACAGAGGAAAACAGACACGCTGTGAGTATGTTGGCCGTTCGTTCTACGGTAGATGCCGCTGGACTCAAAGCGGTAGAGAACCACTCCCGGTTCGGTTGCCACGGTGGCGTCGCCGCACGGTCGTTGGCGGTGCCATCTACATCTCATTTACTCTGAAAGCGTTGTATTTCCTTTTCAGTTTGGAATCCCCACCTCCTGACAGAGAGTAACTAGCTTATTCCATGTATTCTTCCCTTGGTTTTCCCATGATTGTGCACGATTTCCACTTCACCTGAGGTGGTCAGACCATCGAACTTTCTGGAAACGTGAGCTTGCATGAACACCCATAAGTTGGGATATGCAGGTATACGTATGACTGCAGGGAAGGGAGCTTTGATCTCGCTCTCTCTCTCTCTCTCCCTATATATATATATATCTCTCCCTATATCTATCTCAATAGCGTATATATATATATATATATTTGTGTCCGACTTTCTTTACATGATGTTTGCATGTACATGTTTCGCCCCAACGTTTCAATCAAACACTGTGGCTAGCCTTTCGGTCATGGTGTTGCTGGTGTTTTCTGGTTTTGAGGCTGGAGCGGCAGCACCCTCAGCAACACCAACGATGGGACCTTCCCGGGGTTTCAGCCGGTTCTTCCGCTCTTCGTGGAGCTGGTCCCGACCCGAGCGCCCCCCGACGCGCGCATCGCGGTGAACCTGAAGGCGTGCAGCGTTGGACGGCCTCCGTGGGTGCTGTTTTGGGATGCAAGGTTGGATGGGTTCGTCATGGTGAAGTTGGTTTCAGATGGGTGGATGGCGTTCGGGCCCTTTTGAGGTGAGAGCAGTTTCCAAGCAGCTATGCTCTTCGGGGATGTGCCCCCAGAAACGCCGGTCGACATGGCTCGCCAGAGGAAAGCGAGACCTGCGCAGGTCACAGCTGCCGCCAGTAGCAACCAGCTGAGACTGGTGGCGCCCGAGGGCTTTCGCTTCCCCAGCTTATGCGGAGACTTGTGTGCCTCCTTCGGGGAATTCTTTGAGGCCGGTGAAGTGGAGCTATGAAAGGTGGACTGTTGATGAATGAAAGCCCCTTCAGATGAAGAGGATGTGCAATCCCAATGGGGCGGATTTGTTAATCAACGAATCGACAGTGTAACAGTGTACATGATCGAGAACACTCGAGAAACTGGTGGAGACTGAGGATCTTGAGCTGCAGAAAACGGATAGGGGGCAGGCAACATGTGTCAACCTGATCTCGTGGTTGACACAACACTGACCACACGAAGACTATTTTCTTCCCGTGGACACGGGTGGTTTTCAGGTTCTATGTTTAGCTTACCGCGGGTTACATGAGGAAAAGTGCATGCAAGGCAGACATTCCAATCTTGATGCGACCAATTATTTTGCCGCCTGGGCCGTCTCGCTTTAAGATGGGTTCAGCAAAAGTTCAATGACGTGAATATGTCGAGGCTTTTCAGGCCAGGCAGGTTCCTACCTCCGCCAGGACACCGCGCGGGCCATGGCCACCCTCTCTTCCTCCTCCTCGCTGCTGGGGGAGTCCCTGACCTTCCAGGTCCTCACGCCCCTCCGCACGCCACAGGCGCCGATCCGAGACGCCCCGACCGAGACGGAGACGGATCCGAGCCCCCCCTTCGACGCCGACGAAGAAGGGGACCGGACCCGGGCACCGGGTTCAGCACAGAGTTTCGCCACCAAAACGTCACGGTGGCGGTGGGGGTGGGGAGTTTTGGGATGCAACATGCCACCGCTCCATCCATCCATCCCACAGCGGAGGTCGTCACTTGGCTCGTGCGCGCCTACGGTCCCACTGGACAGTTGGATGGCTGGGGGGTCGCTGCAGGCGCCGGCGTTGCGGAGCACGTCCGACGTCCCAAACAGTTCTGGGGAATTAGGAGGAACTTGGACAGGTTCAGTTGAGATTCACAAGGGCGCGGTTGAAATCAGAAACAGAATGGGACAGACCCACATCCCGTGAAGTTGCTTGAGGGTTCAGATCAGGCTTCAGATCAGGCACAGCTCTTCGTCAGTTTTATTTGGTTTGTTCCGCCGTGCGAGTTGATGATGTGGATGCTAGTGCTGCTATTGACACACTCACCACATCTCCCACCAGCCTGCTCGCAGCTTCGTGGATCGGATGAAGCTTCTGCTTTCGATGCGGAAGAAGAACACGCCATGGGACTAGACCTTCTTGTCAACTAGTAAGCGCCTGACACCACGTGGGTCCGGGCACTGGGTAAGGAACACTCTGAAACGGCTCAGCCCTGAGGGACGAGTGTCCGTGTGGCCCAATGTGCCTCGCCTCGCGCGCGCGCGCGGGCCACGTTCCGTGGGTGCCGAGGGCGTGGTGGTGGGCTCATATATCTGGCGTCAGCCAGCTGCGGCCGTGAGGCTTCAAGGTGGACCAGATGCACGTGCAAGTTTGGTACGGTGCCGTGCCAGGCGCTCTTGGAGAATGTGTCGATGGAGAAGGTAGACTGGGTGATTGAAGGCCCCTTTTTGATCTGGTGGAGATGTCAAGCCCCTACCCTTCCAAGCCCAATCGAGAAGTGGTGGTGGACCTGGTTTTGCAGAGCAAAATCCTTGTATCATAATAGATCAAAATCCTTAGTACCACAACGGGTGTTTGGCAACAGCCATAGGTTCATGGTGGTTGGAATCCTATAAAAAATGGTTGGAGCAGGTTATTGATCAACAGGAAAAACATGGACGGCGTGTGGTCTTAGGTCAACCAAGGGCTCCATCTCCGTTGCCGGATGCGGTCGGAGTTCTTCCAGGGCTAAGAAGGCCTAAGCTCATTTGAAGGGGAAATGTGACACATGCCTCAAAAGGAAGTGGTGCGCCTCATTTTGCATGTCAGATGGGAAAACCAAATGGGCATGAGATGTTCGTTGGGTTGGCTTGGTTCCTTGGTTGGTCTGGTCCTGTTTGTGTTGCTTAGGGCTTAGTAATGTCTTAGTCATCCTAGTCTCTGAGCTTTCCTCTTCGCTCAGAAGGGACTCCTTCTGCGCGCCAGGCTTGCAGAATGCCGAGCTCGCCTTCGTGTTCACCTTGGACCTTCGATCGATTCGGTCGTTTCGGCTCTCAGTCCGTCACCGGTCGACCGGAGCGGACCGGAGCGGACCGGACCGGTCCAACGGTCGGGACCGTGCCGGATCAGGTCTCAACATTGAATCACAGGGGACATTCCGAAATCAGAAGATGTGTTATGTGAAGATGATTGAAGATGTGTGATGTGATGTGAGACAGCGTTCATTCAATGAAACATCATGAAACTGAACGATGTTTGCAGCATCATGATGAATCAGTACATGTTGTCTAGTGGTCCCCAACCATGCCCAAGCTGCTCTATATTATATACTGTATCTATCTCCATTTTAGAAACAATTTCCAGCTATATATATATATGCTTTTGGGCAAAGTCATCAATCTCTGCACTTGATGGGGTGAGCCTACATTGATCTTGATGAGGTGAGCCAACTCTGCCCAATAATTGTCACTTTTGCACCACTCCAACGTGCGCATCGCGAATACCGATTTGTGCGCAGCACCCCATCACCAGCACACCAGCACCACCTTGGGCGTCTTTGGGCAGTATGACTCAATTCAGGCCCATGTTCAACTGGCATAGGGGGGCACCAATTTCAGACATATCCCGCCCTCCAATGCCCTTTGTAAAGGGTGTGTTCTTTGAGGATGCCCAACTTGTGGGCGCCCTTGTGGACCCAGGACCTGGCTTTCTTTCTGTGTCCAGGTGGAGGATGGAAACATCCACATCTTGGGGTGAATGGTTTGGCCATCGAACACGTTGAGAGAGGATGCCAGGGTCGAACATCCCACTGACCATCCCATGAAAACTGGATGTCCTGGCGAAAACGACCCCTACACCACTTGGGGATCTCGATTGGGTTCCCCTTGGATGGTCCAGGTCGTTTTGCCGTGTGATTTGTTTTGGACATTTTTGGACCCCTGGCCAGTTTGAGGAGACTCAGGCAACCTGGCAGTGCTTGAAGAACACTTTGCTTCCCTTTCGGCTCGGTGCTCCCTTTTCGGTGACACCGAGCCGGTTCGGTTTCAGAGACCCCCGAGCAGAGTTGGGATCCGAATCCGAAGGGCCCGGACGGATCCGAAAGGGAATGAGTTCGTTGAGTGATGGGCGTGACGCGAAGTGACCGAAAGGGAACGTAGGAAGTGGAGGGTTGGGGGGATCGAACGCATGTACGTTCCATCTTGCAAGGCAGTGATAGAAGACGGAATGTTTTCCTAGTGGTGGCAGACAGGCTGCCTAACAGGAGCTCCTAAGCCTACCAGATCCTACTAAGTGAGGGTCATGTTTGGCGCGGTGCTGTGAACGGCTTGAAAGGCGCCGTCATTCATGATATTTGTTGAAGAGGCCTCATGGGTATCACCGCAAAGGCGTTGAACACCCAACGTGGAGCTGCAGCATTGTCTCAAAGGACAGTTTCTAGAAAATTTGACCTGATTATATAGATCAAATGCTGAAGCCTTCTTTTTTCCGCATCTGCATGCGGAAAGACCTGGAAAGACGGTTGTTTCAGTCTGTGAAAGGCTACAGCGGCTAGCCAAAAACCGTCGCTCCGTGTGGCGCCGACCGGAGCACCGGGAGACGGAGCCAAGGAGATGAATCTGCGCATCATCGAGGTGCAGGGACCCTCGGAGGTGCAGATCTCCTGCACCTTGGAGGGACACCGAAGCAGAAAACCCGATGATCCATCCATGGGACTGGAATAGTTACCTGTCTATCCATATCTCTCCTATCTCCTTCAGGGATCTTCAGGGAGAATAAGAAAAAAGGTGGTATTAAATGCGGTAAATGATGGTAAATGTAAAACATATATATATATATAAATATATCTGTGTGATTGTATTTATATACATATATATAGCTATTCCATACATGGATGGTCTGGGGGATGTCTGACGGCCTCGTGACGGTGGGATTGGGATCGGCACACTCAGGGGCACGGAAAAGGGGGTTGGTCTGTGGAACGCACTGAGTCAAAGGATTCACAGCCATGCCGGGCAACCCCTCTAGGCACCCCTTGAGGGCTTGAGTCATGAAGTGAAGGATGAGTTTGGGACTTCCTTTGACGAAGTCAGGTGAAGTCTTAAAGCTCCACGTCCAGCAACACGTCCACCACACCCTGGAACCATGGCTTCAGGTTTGGTGACGTCTGTGTTTTGGATCAGACAGGGCCTGTGAGAACTCGATGGTTGACACGACCCTGGGTCCTCTGGAAATGCCGTTGGAGCACGTGGTTGAGACGGAGAGCGCCCTTCCTTGACTCCTTGACTGTAGGACTCGAGAAATCAGGCACCACACGTTGTGCCGCAATTCCTCGACTTGAGACCCGGGCAGTGTTTTTTTTATAAGAGTTCCGGAAATCACTCTCGAATTATTGATGGAATTCTAAGAGACATGTGTGGAACAAATTTGAGATCATTAGCGTGACTGCGCTAAGAACGAGGTGAGAATTCGTTGAAGCCGCTGAACCTTCCTGAGGCCACTGAAGGGTTGGACGATGTTGGGCGGGGTGGACTCTGCAAAGCTAATGATGCAATTCCGAGTTCCTTTCAATTCCTGCTTTTCGATAGTTGGAGGTTATGAAGATCGAAATATATGTGTGTTATAGTAAAAACATATTTTAGGAGGCTGGCGATGCACATGATCCAGTTGGGGTGGGGATCCTGTGCTCATGTCTCAACTCCTCTCATCGCAACTTAGGACATCGCAAGATCTTCTCAAAAACCCGACCCCAAACAAGATCGAACAAGACAAAACAGCGCTACAGCTCCCTTCCACTCCAATATCAAAGGCTGCACCCAACCAGAGGGGCGAGATGTCGGACGGCCAAAAGAACAGCCGCGGCACAAACTTCCCCATGCCATGCGGGCAGCGATGATGCTACACCATCGCGGGGCCAAACCAAAAAAACGGTCTAATGCTGACTGTTGATGACGTTGATGCAAAACCACTGTACATCCCTTTACCGGAATGGTTGATTACATCTCCACTACTTACTGCGTGGCTTTATTAATACACATGATTCCTCACAGGTTGAAGGGCCAGGCTCCCCCCGCTACTGGCCAACTGAGGCCTCCTGCGCGGCGGAGGGTTTAGGCCAACTGCGCTTGGAGCTGGGGAGTTCCTTGCAGAGTGGCGCCTGGGAAGAAAATAAGAGAGGAAGACCAGGTAGAGGCTGGGGCGACCATTGCTGGCGAGATGCAAATCAAGATGCCAGCGCGGGTTGGTGAATTATCGATTGTGGGGAGTTTCGAGAGGAGGATTCCCAGGTATACGCTGAAAAGTCTTCTTGCGCTGTTTTTTTTGTTGTTGTTGACTCTACTTCCAAAAGGCACAGGAGTCGCAGGAGCTGCTTATTTTGGAGTTGTTCTTTTTTTTTGGGGGGGTCCTTTATCGGAGACTCTCCCCCCTCATTCCGTCCTGAAAGAATGCTGGCCCAAAGGAATAGTCAGTGGAGACTTGCACAGGACCCCTGCGCAGATCAATGTGGCCGTTTGAAATCATGCACAGAACAATGGCGGACCCGAAGGAGGTTGATTGTGGACCCCACCTCACTGACCTCTTCACTCCTTCCTTTTGAGGCACCTATGCCTTCAGCGTGCACGGGGATTTGCCCACCGTGACTCCTCCGCAGAATGACTTCTCCATGATCATCCGGCAGGTGCCCACGGAGCAGGTGCGAGCCTGGGTGTGGCGAGGAAAGGAAGCATCAGAAACTGCAGGTGACTGGATGTCTGTGATCAAGGGGTTTCATGTGTGGCTTTTCAATGCTCAACTTCTGAATGCCCACCCTGAGCTCCCAAAGGGTTGCTGTAATGTCCCAATATGTTCCAATTATTATTGATTCTTGCGGACAAAATAAGGTTATATAAATATAGGTGGTTGACATCAAGACGCGCAGGAGCTCAGACGCCATCGCGTCCATAGTGGCCATAGGACGCCCTGCTGCGACCTCCGATTCCCAGGTGGCCGACGCGGCCTTTGGTGTGCCAGGATGGCCTTTAGGGGAGTTGGAGACGTCTCAGCGACTCAGAGTCGTTGAGGTTAGCATTTTTGGACCTTTTTGGGCTCTGTCAGAGTCGTTGAGTTTGTGTGTGATCTTGTAGGTTTTGAGGGGATGTAGGGGGCTTCGGCTGCTGGTGCTTTTGGGTTTAGTGGAATGTTGCTTTGGACCCCGCAGATGCCAGCTGATCTTGGATCATTATTAGTTCATGTGGTTTTGATTTCGGCTTGTCTCCAAATGATGTCCGCTTGATACACGCAAGGAAGGGGAATGCATACTGAATCATTTAGAGTCCATTTTCTGGAATGCAGTCATTCAACGTTCATGACTATATTCCAGTATTTCTGCATAACCTCCGAACTAGTAGCAGTTATCAGGGGTGAACACCGAAGTTTGCCTTGTCTACTTTGGTCAAACCATCCTCAGAGTAGGTCAGCTTGATGTCTTCGAGGCCACTCTTAGCCTGGAGCACTGCCGGGGTCGGAGAGGCGAGACTGAGAGGTAGGGTACTTGCACCCTGCCCCGAGAGGTAGGAGGCAAGTCTTGTTCTAAAAAATCTCAATGCCATTTAATGACGCGTGTGATGGGTTAATGCTGTTAATGATGACATAGCTCCATGGTTGCTTGGGATGTGAAGTACTTTTTTAGAAATATCGACACGATCCTGCATGGAAGCAAAGACAGTGTGTTTCTTCCGGAGTTGGGAACTCATTGTCATGGAAGGGAGCCGAATTCTATACCTGGACCCCTGCAGAGCTGTTGTTGTTTTGGACCCCTCGGCGCCAACTGAACCTTGGAACCAAGCAGCACCATTCTTTAAGTACACATGTCCAGGTAATGTGGCTGGATGCTTTGCACACTAAAGATTGATCTACCTGATGACTAGTACCACGTACGCAAGGGCGACCAAGTGCTCGTTGCAGCAACACGACCTAATATGACCTAATGGATAGATCACACTTATACGAAACAAGACAATGCAAAACTAGACCAGCATGTTTTTGCAGACTGTCGCGTATTTTCGCGTTTGCCCCGATGTCGAGAAAACCACAGACTCCAAATTTGATCATAATTTCCAGTTTTCATGTTCTTGCGTCCGGCTCCACAGAATCAAGTCACACATTTCGGACGCACGGCAGCTTGACACAGTGATTTGAGGGTATAGTATATATAGATACTGTAGTAGATTTTTCGATTCGATTCGGAACCTACCGTACACTCCCAACAAGCAAACATATATGGTCCGATTTTCCTCAAACCAATTGCTTGAAGGGTCTCTCCTACTTTCGGGGGAGAGTCGTGGGGGTTATTTGATCCAAAAGGAGACGAATACTATGCCAGTGCCATGTGTTGACACGTGAAGCATGCCGAGACCCACTTTTGCTCTCAAGGTGTCCAGCGTCACCATCTCCTTCTTCATGCGCAACGTTACGGGCGCCCTGAGGGCCTTGCTGATCAACCTGCTGCTCGGCTTCAGGGTCTTCAGGTTCCGCAGCTGCCGCCTCAGGCGTCGACCGCACCAGGCTGATGATGACATGGATGACCTGCACAGCGCGTCCGTTTGTATGCACACAATTAATATGCAATACATGATTATATAATCAATTGTATATGAATTATACATGTATCATCATGTATCAACCGCAACTGCGGTATGGATGTAGTAGGTCATTGCATACTCAAAGGACTCCACAGCCGAGTTGTGATGCTGTGTTCACCTCATCCCCTTCCACCCCACAAGACGCTGCTGATGTGAATGTTAGCCACTTGAGCGAAGTTGGACTCTTTGGAATACGGCAGGTTGTAAGAAATCGCACAGAAACGCCCACTAGATTCATCCTCCACAGGGTTTCTCCGGGTTTCTCCACAGAATCGCTCGAGCAGCGAGGCCGAGCGGCTTTCAGCACCGAGTCCGTGGCAGCAACGAGTTCAAGGTCTCCAACCCCAAGCTGCCGTTGCTCAAGGGCGCCAGTGCCGCCTGGCGGGACATCGCCATCAGAACACCGTGAGGAGATCACCCAAACGGGTGAACTTGGGACTTTTCTATTTCAAACTTGACCGGGTTGGGGTCGGGCAGGAGTTTTGGGTGTCAAAAAGGAGGCGGAACTGTTGAATACGTTGAATTTGCTCACATTGAGCTTGGTGCAGAAATTGGTGAGATCAAATCAAGTTGCTAGCTAACTATGCTCCAACGTGGCTATGACAAGCTACGGCCACCCCTTTTTGTGTTCGACAGTCCGCCAGAACCGGCTAATCCACAAGTCCACAAGTCACTCAGTATGTCTTCGGAATTGTTTGGATGTTGAACCTTATCTTCCAATCAAAATGGAGGTATATATATATATAGTGCGCTGGAAAGCAGGCGATGACCAGCGTGTGAATAGCCATGACTTGCGCAGTTTGTCTCCACCTTTTCTTTGGTTGCACTCGGCTACCAAGTTGGGGTGGGAGGGTACATGGCGGAAAGGATTGTCCAGACTTCTTCAGTTTTCCATCTATATAAGGTATCTCTAAACAGAATCCGATGGAAGACCAAACAAATCATGCGGCTCATGCGTGAATGTCAACGTTTAATATGTATAAAAAGCATCAATTGGACGGAGTTTGAGAAGCTTTTTGACTTCTCACCCACCTGGGATGGATGACTCTGCTCCTCTCTCCTCTCCGAGGACTGGCTGGAGGTGTCCCAGCTGGACCGGATCGTGGTGAGGCTCGAGCCGGAGGACTGGGATGGTGCCATGTACTGCGGTTAAAAGATGATAAACATACCGATAATTCATCTGGTATCCTATGCGGTTTTAACATATAGAATATGGTAATTCTTCATATCATATGTTTATATATATATATATGTACCGTATATATCATCTGATATTCCTTTTGTATACTAAGCACTTGGAGGAAGACGACGCTTTTTGCGGCGGTCGGTTTCTTCCAACGTCATCCTTCTCGCCCAATCGATGACACGCTCGTCATGTTTCTTTCCTGCAGGATCCTGTGGTCTCAGTGGGCAGCTACATGTTCACGCCGCCTGGCGGTCGGAGAGAGCCTGTGGCCGACGAAGAAGGAACGACATGTGAAGCGAAGCGTGCCAGGCACGCGAAGCGTTTATGGCGTTTGGATGCCTTGGGCCCTGTTTTGCGAGGCTTTGTTGGGTGGTTTCCACATTTCAGCTTCACTTGGTGATGGAAGCCAGATGAAGCCAGAAGATGTGATTCCCCATCTGCCAGGTCAGGATTGTTAGATTTTGTCTCAGCTGTTCGTTCGTTCGTTCCTTCCTTCCTTCCTTCCTTTTTCGGTGCCGAATGCGCCCTAACTCTGAGGTTTCCGGTGGCCCTGCCGCGTGCCGAGCTGCTGCCCGCGGTGAATTTCTGGCGGCTGAGCTTCTGTTCCTCACGCAGCTGCGCCTCTTGGAACAAAATTGGTCGGAAGTAAGCGAGGGGCGTCGGTGGCTCCAGAGAAAGGGCCTCCAGTTGGGGACGGCCCCGGCCAGAGTCCTGTGAGGGGTCCCCAGAATATTAGCCATAAAGGCACATCATTATCATCGAGAAGGGTTGTACAGTTGTACAGGACAAACACCTCATGCGGACATAAAGAGTTGAGCCCCTCCGCCGGTGATTTCTGTGGCCCACATCCCCAAGGTTGACACACCCTTCAACAAGTGGGGGATCCGGTCGCTTCAGCCAAACAGGATCAAACAAGGACGTGGGACCCCAGGGTTTTGGGTTGCAAGCTCCTTTGGTGTTATTGAGGTCCTTCCCACGGATAAGGCGGGCGGGTGTGGGGCAGGGGGCGTGTCGTGCGTCCAAGGGCTAACTTGGCTTCGGGAGCTGTGGTCATCCCTGGCCACTGGATTTGATCATCACTGCCGAATCACTGCCCAAGGTTTTTTGGTTTACACCCGCTGGAATCATCATTAAATGGGACGCCCTTTGGATTACTCATGTTCCGAATACCTGTTGGATGGTGTGCCAGTTCCATGATTGTTTCAGGGAGTCACAATGACTTGGTCCAGCCATGTCCAGCCAACTTATCCAGAAATGGGAGCTGGATTCCCCCTCGCTCCCGTGTTCCTATTTGAAGGGGAAACCTCGCTTGTTTCGAAACCTCCCGGGGCATCTGGACTCCTCGTCCGACCCGGAACCTCCGACCCTGTACCCGGGAGTGAGGGTCGCGAGGGTCGCGAGGGTGGAGTCTTGAAGTTCATTTTTGAGACTCATTGAGTGCTTGAGTGGACTGTTTACTCGGCACTTGGCCATGGGAACCCCCGGCCCTGCCATGCCGGGCCATGCCGTGGCAGCTTGGCTCATAGAGGTGTTTCCGTTCGCCACAGCTTGTTGAGATGTGAAAACCAACAAAAGACAAATGAGAAGAGTCATATTTGGGACTATTATATGGAAAGCATTGGACAGCTATATGACAAAACTATACAAAACTACTATATGATGATCTATGACAAAGCTATGACTTGTTGGAAGAGTTGCCCTAACACCAACAACAACAGTGGCATTTGCCGGCAATGTGACAAGACAAAAAAGATGGACAGCTGTACAATCCACGAACAAGACCAAGTCACAAACAACAGTTTGGACTTAAAACATCTAAAAATGGCAGTCATACTTAGTAGATGCTGACCATCCGTTCAGCTGTGACGAGCCATGAACGCGTGGCTCGCCACGTGGGCGCTTCTGAGCAGTTCGGCTCTTCCTGTGGCTCAGGGCTGGTCGATCCTCGTGCTTGGTGGCACCGGTTTTCGTGGCCATTTAACAACGGAGCAGCTGGTGACTTCGGAGCAGCTGGTCGGTGGTGCTTGACTTGCAGATCCTGAAGGGGGTAGGTAGCTAATGTAGACTCTTGATTAATAAACCATCCCATTTGGATGCGCGAACTCACGGACGGTCGGTGACGCGGTCTCGCCTCCACACCCTGCCGAGACGCGTTTTGTAACGCGGGACTGGGTGCAGATTGAGGTGAACCCGAGTGGAGTGAGGAGCCAAGTATGTACACAACTCTACGAACCAAGGCCACGAACGAAACATGGATAGGCAGGGACCAAGACGAGAAAACAAACTTCTCCACTGAAGCACATCTCAAGAATTCCTAATTATGTTTTCACAGCTGACAAAAGTGCATCTAATCGGGGCCAGGATGGAATATGCTATCCAATGGTTGCTTTCGGAACATGGCATAACGGACGTGCTGTATGAAGGCTTCGCGCTTACTTACTGGGATTTCAGGGAGGTCAGGAAGAGGTCGAATCGGCGTTGACTCTGGCAGTTTGGGGACGTCCATCTCAGTGTGGAAAGGTGGGTTATGTGGGAGAGTCAAAACCAAGTTCAGCAAGAAAGCGCAGGTGTCCGTTGCATTAGGTAGGATTGGGCGCCTAGAGACACCCCTTTCGTGGTATGTGTGAACACCTAAACAAACGCACTTAAGCGCCGTGCCCTGTTTGGCAAAGGTGGGGATATATTTAGCTCGCGAGAAGGTACCATTTGGATTAAATCCTCTTCATGTGGGGGTATTATTAATCCAGAGTCTACATTCGGCTTTTCGCTCCAAAGCGGTGAGGTCTGCAAGCATCAAACTCGTGGTCGGCCCTGAAGCGGAGGCCTCACCAGATGGTGGTATAGCCTGCTTGGCATCCACCAAGTACGTGAGGTGCTCAAAAAATGAAGAAGTTCATCCGCACCAAGGAACCCCACCCACGTTTGTTGGAGGGTGTCCCCCACCAGTCTGTCGCCGGACACAGCTCTCCAGTCGGCTTGTTAGGTCCGTGAGGGTCACACGGTGACGGTGCTGTCCCGCGGCTTCCGCTACTGGGACATCTTCGCGCGCTTAGCTCCCCACATCACCCACTGGCGCTGCAACCGGACCTTGGAACGGGACTACGGGGGCGCCTATCTCTCCGAGTCCTCCGGGCTGGTGAATTGCCCCGTGGCAGCACAGAGGAGAAAGTGATGGTTCAGTCTATAACGAGACAGTACGTTCCTGCATATAGGCTATTCATATCATATTTACGGTGCTTTTTTGGGGGAGTATAGAGGTGTGATATACTTTGTGGCAGGTGCACTGCAATCAATTCATATTTCCCTGGTAATTACTCCTTTGTTGCAAATCTGCCGCACCTGAGTACTGCGTCACAGGGACATTTGTGGCCCAGTAGGACATTGGCATTGCTCTTCGTCAGCTGCCACATCATGTGATCCATGAGTCAGTTCACCTCGCGAGCTACATTTTCACAACAAATTCTAGATAAACTATGATAAGCTAGTCCCTTCCACGGCGGCATTATCTAGAGCCTATTGTCCAAGACACCAAGTGGTTGGTATGTTGAAAACACCAAGTTGAGGCTGTCATGAGCGTCCCTGCCATAAAGAAACCCTTTGGAGAGGCGAAAGCGTAAATGGTGTCGCTCGCGGGCGTTTCGTGGATTCTGAGGTCACCCAGCCTACCCCTCTCCAGCATCCAAGCTGTAGTAATTATGAACAGAAATTGAAGGCCCCCCCGTCCCCCCAAACCCCCTTCCTCCTCAAGGGATGGGGGAACTTTAGTCATTTGCAAGTCCTGATATGTATATATATATACATATACATATATATATATATGTGTGTGTGTGTGTGACCTCAGGCAGCAAGCTCCTAGAGAGCAACGCGACCTTCGACGTGGCAGTCGACTTTAGCACACGCAAGGTGGCGGAGTTGAAGCAGGCCGTTCGCCTGTTGCGCGACTTGGATCACACAGTTCCCGCCGCTTGGGGGGGATTCTTGAGGATGTGCGGGGGATGGTGCCAGTGGGAAGAGTTCAATAGCCATGCTCTACTCGACCCCAAAAGCTTCCTGGGACTTCTTTAATGACTGTGAAAGGCCAGGTGCAGAGAAGAAACATTTTGGAATTTGATTGACCTGAAGACATCTCATAAGGCCCCCAAGGCATGTAGCCCACAGCATGGATATATGTGAGGAATGGTTGTGACACCAAATGCCCCGTGAGGCAAGCTGGTTGTCCTCTCAGATCGCAGAATCATATGAATCATGGCAGGGACATTTGGTCGGTTAATCAGACGATCTGGGGGTCTTTGGGGCAAGTATACATGTCTGCGAAACTTGAGAATCTCTGTGGACCGCGCTTTGGAAGGCCAGTTTTGTTGCCAGTGCTCCAAAATTGCATTGATGCCGTTCTCAGAAGGGTTTGCGGCTTTGTTTTTGAGCCTCTGTGGAGAGCCGTGAGGTGGGAAAGTCTCCCTCTACATTTTCATGTCCTCCCACGCGGTCTATGATGTCTCGAAGAACAGGACTCATGAGGAGCAGAGTTGGGGGGGTTCACAGTCTTTGCCCAGTTCACGAATTCATTATGTGTTTGTGAATATGGTGTGCATTAAATTACATTGTTTTGGTTGGGGGGAGGGCCGTTGAATGCCGTTCGTGTGTGTGTGTGTGTGCGCATGCACGTTGAAGATAACAACCATGACAAGACGAGCAACAACAAGAATTTCAGGAACACGCATCATCATCATCATCATCATCATCATCATCATCATCATCATCATCA